CACGACTGACGATATTCGTGTCTTTGAACGAACGAGAGGAAGGTGGCGAAGGGGTCGACCGTAGACGTTCCTTGTCCAAAATTCCGTCATTTTCATCCGTGACCGCTGACTCCTCTCCATGTGTACTTCCTTGATGAACTTCGACCTCAACTTGAAATTTAACCCTTGTCTCTGCTTCAGGGGCTATGGTGTACTTTCGGTCTGAGGGCAACTGTGAAATGCTTCTGGTTCGCATTTCTTGTTGCATACCCTGCCTTTGCTTGGCAGTGGACCTATTTTCTTCGCTTTGAGACCTACTGGGTCTACGTGGGGTGGAGGAGGCGAATGTCGTAAGATCGTCTTCATCCGAGTCAAGGCCAAGGGGGGATAAGTCGAGCGTCAAGGGAGAGAACATGTTGTCACTGCAGAAACAAATATAATAATTGCCATTCAAGGAGTATACGTTCAAACTTTGTTCCACAATCTAAAAAAAATGGTATTGGTTTAACGCTCCAATCAACACTATTACTATTAGGTTATTAAAGGGGCGGGACCTCCTAGTTTAACTTCCGCCCCCGATAGGACCGAGCAAAGTAGGAAGTTCGTGTAAAGTGCCTTTCCCAAGGACACAACGTCGGATCGAGCTGAGGCTCGAACCCCCGAACCCGCAATCTCACGATTACGAATCCGGTAGCCTAACCACTAGGCTACCGACACGACCCCACAATCTTCAGTGAAACTTAGAAAACTGATTTTCTTCCACTAAATCAAAACATTTAATTTGACTTCTTTAACTTTAACTATGGAGACGTTACTTTTAACCGGAATTTGAATATTTTACACAGGGACTCATTTTGGATAGATTCTTGTCTACAGTAAAACAACGGGTTCAATGAGCTCATTTTTGTATAAGTCGGTTGAATTTGTCGGGTTTTCTTCTTTCCAGCCACCAGAACCTTAAATGTCAATAACTTTGTGCATTCATGAATTATTGAAAAGGAGCATGTCTTCGACAAGCTGTTCACCTTCAAATGTCTTAAGCCGTGGAAGCAAATTATGTTCAGTGAGGAGAAAAAAACTCTTTCATTCTTTTAAATTGTACAGGCACCCACGTGTTTTTTTTTTGGTTTAAAAAATTACAAATTGAATAGACAAATTGTTTCTGAGCTCAAGCACATGCAGACTATAATATATATCAGAGATTAAGAAACTTCAATGCAAAGAAAATTCAAACTTTAGGGCTTAGTACATCTGAACAGCTGACCCACGATGTATTTCTTGATTCTATGGTATACAGTAGGCCCACTATACGGTTTGCGTTTCCCATCCTACATATCACAGGGTACTTACAATTCTTCTTGTTGTAATGTCTGGGGCCTCTTGTTACGCGATTCTTTCCCTGTGGAAAAAAGTCAAGAGCGTTTTAATTTTTGCTTCAGGAGGACCCACGCAGTGGGTGAGCAAACTTGCCCGACACACGGGCGTTTGGGATTTGAGTCCGAATAGGGCCCCAATACAGTGCTTGCCCAATATCTCTCGTCTTCTCAGGACTATTATTCTGTCTGTCAAGACGAAGGATGATATTCACTGCATTTGAAACAAGTTTAGAATGTTGTCAATTCTAACATTCGTTAACGCTTGGCAATTTTCATATTTTACAATGACAAGATGAAAAGTACACGTAAAACCTGTTATGCCGTAAACTTTTAAAACTTCTCATAGTAAATAATGAAAATTGCCAAGCGTACTTTCCAATTGCCAACCATTTCACTACCACCACAGAAAATTTATATTCTTTAAAATGCCATTCACACTCAGTTGCATGTGTCACAATGCAAGGTTGGGTACCCCGGTTCGAGTTAGAATAGCGACCTCCAACCAAAGAGCTTCACTTCAAGCAACGTGATGTGATCGAATTTCTTACCCCCGAAGCAACCTTATATTAGTATGAAAGAACGATCTTTATTAATGGTGAGGTTTGTGTTAATGTTAGCAACATTTCGCTGCCTCAGAATTACAAAGTTCTATCTGACGTTTTAGGCCGTTTTGAGTAATTAAGAACATGAGGTCAGAAACCAAATGATGTATTTGCTCTTTCAATTTCAATATGTAAGCTTGGCTGTGATGGGTTCGCCTTGGGAAAGATGCAATAAATGCATCATGACAACGCCCACGTCCACCATACCAGTCGGAGTTCTCCATTCTGTCGCATCCGTTGTAAAGTCCGGATCTAGAATTGGAGTATATTATGTGTCGGGTTCATCGAATTTTAGTGTGAACCAAAAATCATATGATCCTGTTAGATCTTTATGTCAACTGTGTTTGAAGAAATTCTTCATGCAGCCAGCTAGATCTATTCTAGACTCTAATGGTAATTTCTGGTAGCGGATGTAATCCATGACTTCATCTTTGTTCAAGGATAAAAGATTTACAAAGAAGAGAGGAATGTCTTTCTCTCTCTCTCTCTCTCTCTCTCTCTCTCTCTCTCTCTCTCTCTCTGAACCATTGGTCACTGTTCCCC